GAAATGGTCTCTATTTGGTGTTGTCGACATCTTCCACTTCCACCGTAAATTCAATGCAGTCTCTGACTTCTGACTTCCAACCCGAACCACGCCTATGTCGGTCTCCGACATCATCCTCATCACGCCGGGGTCGAGCTCTTCTCCAAAACATGAACTCGGTGATTTAGCCGGGATCTCCCCCATCCCGGTTATCAACACGGAACTCGGATTCGCGGTCTCCTCCATGCCGGTCTCCATCAAGCACCTCGGCTTCTCAATCTCCTTTCCGATTTTCAATTCTGTCTCCAGAAACTCAGGTTCCGCGAAGTCTTCTACCTCGACAATGGACTCGTCGTTCCCGTCCTTCTCCACTTTGATCTCGGCTCCTTCGTTCTCCTCATCTTCTATCTCAGCTCCTTCGTTCTCCTCTTGTTCTATCTTGGCTCCTTCGGCCACAGTCATCTCCATCGTCTTCTTCTCCGAGTCGTCTCTTATGCGTTCTGACACGTCAATCTCCTCCGCGGATGCGTTGCCGTTGGCAACCTCGGACTTCGCCATCTCGATCTCTTCTTCATCCGCATCATTCTCCTCCTCTTCATCATCATCATTGAAGATTTCATCTTCTTCATTAATCAGATCAAAACGTCCAGGCAAGTATTTTGCTATGAAGGCCATTAGAAAATCCTTCCACATATTATTAAAGTCGTGACAATTCCATGTACGGAACCATTTGATTGCGCTTCCTCTGAGTCTTCTCATGGCTACGTGCCATTTGTCCTCCGTCCAGGTTTTTTCTTTCCGAAAATGTTCCTTCAAATAGAGAAGCCAATCTAATGTTTCATCCTTATCTCCACGGAAGAGTGGCACCTCCAACTCGCTCTTTTTCTCCATAGCTCTGATACCAATTTGTTAGAATTGAATATCCACACAGATGCAAGAGACAACCATACTTGTGTATCTACAAAAAAACTTTTCTTTTCTATTCTTGCTTTCTTGCTCTTTTTCTTTTTCTTTTGATCTCTTGATCTACTTGATCTCTTGATCTACTTGATCTACAAACTATCAAAGGCTATTTATAAGATCATTACTTTATAACTGACATAACTGACTCATTACTTTATAACTGACTCATTACTTTATAACTGACATAATTGACTCATTACTTTATAACTGACTCATTAATATTCACTAACACAAACCTAAAGACATGACTCTTCACCAGAAAACTCTTCACATTTCTATTTTCTATTTTCTCATTAGAATTTAACCCAACACCGAGACCCTATAAAGGCACACTCCATCATTGACAAGTATGAGTCTCAAAAAAAATGAGAAACCCGTCAAGACCTTTGATCTTGAAGACTTTTTCAAGAATAAGAAGAACATGGTTGAAGCTGAGATTTCCAGAGTGAATAAAGATATCTTGAAGACAAAGTATCCAACTTGTCATCCAAGCTTCAACAACTTAGGAGAGGAGCAGTTGGAGGCTTTCATTGCTACGTTGGATGATAAGATTGGAGCTTGTGATCAGAGAATTAACATGCTAAAAAATGAGCATAAAAGTGAAGCCAACGTCTGTTTCATTCAAAACATGGCTCAGAAGACTGGTGCTTCGTATCCTAGCCAACTCAATTACATGGAGATTATATCTGAAAACCAACATATCCCTATCCCTGCTTCTCCTATGAAGCAACTCAATAATGGGAACATCATTAATGCTATGTTTGGTTCTAATAATGGAGTTTGTAATCAGAGAATTGACATGCAAAATGAGCTTCATAGTGAAGCCAACTTCAGTATTATAAATAATATGGTTCATGAGAGTGCTGCCTCTTGTCTAGCCAGTTTTATACAAGATATGGCTCAAGAGTGTGCTACCGCTGATCCAGGCCAATTCAATTTCATGCAGAACATATCTCAAAGACAACTTATCCCTGCTCTCACGAAATCACTCGATTATAATACTAATAGGATGATGGATTCTAAAAGTGTGCTTGTAGGTTCTATAGATCAATTTGATGGGCTTATGGACTGTGCTTCTCAGCATGGTGAGCTTGATGAATTAAATAGTCTACTTTTTGAGCATCAAGATTGGGCTACTCAACTAGGTGATCTTTTTGGGTTGGACCAGTCAACCTGACGAGTCTGTTTTGCAGAATATTAATGGATGGGTTTCAAAGACTGGTTGGTTATCCAGCCGTATAAATCAGTAGCAGTATGAGAGCTGGGAAGCATTCTTCCAAAATCTATGCCTCTAGAATTTTTATTTTTGATTTTTGGTTCTTTTACCTGAGGAGATGGAGTGTACTTGGATGCCATTATATTGTTTAATATATGGATTTCCCTTAACACTGATCCTAACTATGTTTTAGGCAATACTTACTCCGCATATGTTTTATGGTTTGAATTGGATCTCTTTTTCTATAGATTCTCTGAAATTGGTTGTCATGGTTACATTTGTTGAAACATGCTAAGGCATCAGCACCATACCTCCCGAGTCATTTGGGGATATAATATTCTAATATACGAGTTAGTGTTGTATTATTAATCTGCAAAGGAAAGGCATATATATTGGCAAAAATTTGCTTGCACAGGCATAAATTTCTTTTTAATATATGGTAGATTGATCACAGTGTTTACATGAGCTCTAACCATATCCGTCAAGATTAAAAGCTGGATTCAGAGACTTCTTACGGATGACCCTCCACACCCCTTCCATTTGTAGGAGCATCAAGAGAAGAAAGCTAACTTAATATGCTTGCCTCTGCTTGCTGATTACTTTGCCATTATTTTATTGAACACGCATTTGTCTCTTTGTTTAACTTAAATAATAGTGATGTTATTGATGTTTAATAGGGATATTAGGCAAAAGAAAAAAAAAATGTTTTTTAATTAAATAATTACGTATTTATTACAGTTTTGGAAAAAATTACGGATCTATTGCATACTGTGACGCCCCATTGAGGCGTCTCACCCTAAGGGGAGACGCCCAAATCATGAGGTGTTGACACGTGTCACTTTTTTTTTCCAAAACAAAATTAATTTAATCATAAAACTTTTAAAAGCCATAACTTTTGACTCGAGTATCCAAATCATGTAATTCTTTTTTTGATTCCACATAACTTTTCGAGATCTACGCAATGACATCTCATTTGACATATTTTATTTCTCACAAGCACAATTTTAATTTGCAAGAAGGGTATTATAAGAGCGGTTAAACCACCCAGAAGCCTCTGAGTTCTGGATTTGTGATTTAATATAAAAAAATAAATAAAATTTTAATTTGTGATTTAAATTTTTTTTATAATAAATTTTTTTATTATAACAAAAATTTGGTTTGTGAATTAAATTAAAATAAAAATAAAAATTATTATTAATTAGGAAAGTAAAATAAATATTTCAATTGTGATTTAAACTAAAAAATCAATTTGAAAAATCTGTAGAAATAAAGAAAATAATTAAATAAATATTCTAAATTTCTAAGGAAGAAGGATATTATTTTTAAAATTAATGATTAATGCTATAAGCTTCGGGGTTATTATTCGTGGTCTGAAATTAATGATGGCTTATGAATATTTTTCAAAAATAAAATTACCTAAATTAGGCGTGATTGCCTCTTGATTGAAATCTAATTTAGACGTGATTGGTGATGTGTTAGGTTTTGACACGTGTTGACACGTGTCACATTTTTAAACTCAGAAGTCTCTGAGTTCTGCGTTTGTGATTTAATACAAAAAATAAATCAAGATTTGATGTGTGATTTAAATTAAAAAAATAAATTTGTTTATTTTTATTATAACAAAAATTTGGTTTGTGATTTAAATTAAAAGTAACAATTATTATTAATAAGGAAAATAAAATAAAGATTTGATTTTTGATGTAAACTCAAAAATCAATTTGAAAAATCTGTATTAATAAAGGAAATAATTAAATAAATATTCTAAATATCTAAGGAAGAAGGATTACCTGATTTAAATTTAAATTATGTTTGTGAGAATTAAAATATATCAAATGAGATGTCATTGCGTAGATCTCAAAAAGTTATGTGGAATCAAAAAAAGAATTACCTGCTTTGGATACTCGAGTCAAAAGTTATGGCCTTTAGAAGTTTTATGATTAAATTAATTTTTTTTTTGGAAAAAAAAGTGACACGTGTCAACACCTCATGAGAGACGCCCCATTTAAGCGTCTTCCCCTTAGGGTGAGACGCCTCAATGGAGCGTTACAGTATGCAATAGATCCGCAATTTTTTCCAAAACTGTAATAAATGCGTAATTATTTAATTAAAAAATATTATTTTAATTTTTTTGCCAGGGATATTATGGTCTGGTGTTTCGAGTAATGTAATGGATACTGATAGTTGCTTATTGATACTGAGATTTGAACCCAAGTCTTTGTGGAATATGAGCCAAACCCTTAGTCAACTATATTCACCGTTGTCAGCGTAAAGAGGTTCTTTATTGGTTATGCATGTAACTAGTCTTTTTATTGGTATATTTGAGTTTCTTACGTTGCCTATACTTGGAGTTTTGGAAGTAAAATAGATGAAGAATTCCATTTTTTAATATCTTGTATGTGTTCAATTATTTGGAATTTTATCTTTTCATGGTTGTAAGTTAAAGATCAACGAGGGAATAACACTAATTTTTGTGATACCTGTCCTTCTTGTATGTGTTTCAATTATTTCAAATTTTATCTATCCTAAGGTATAAGTTCATGATGCGTAATTAGTTGCGTATCATAATTCACCCGAGCTTGTCACGCATCACTTAGAGCATAGGACAACCCTTAGTAACATTATTTGATGATACACAATAAAACAACTGTTTAGTATTATATGATTGAGAAGAAATTTCACATTTCTTCATTTATTTAGGCCTAAAACCTCTGTCCACTGTGGAGAACTTAAGTGTCCAAAACAGCACAACAGAGTCTCAGGCCAGATTCACACATGTATATATAAAACAGTAATTATTTATGCTACAACTTGCTTTGATAACTATTTCAAAGTGTTGTAATCATCACATGAAACTAATACTTGGGTTCCTTGATGCTGATTGCTTTTTGGTTGGGTAGTAAGCCCATTCATTGATTGCACACACCCCATATGGTAAACCGGCATTTCTTTTGATCCATATGTATCCATTGATTCCCCAATTTGTGCCCCACGAATTTTTCACAATCCAATAATCTTCACCATCCACCGAATCATAACCCACTATTAACACAGCATGATTTACGTACTGAGAATCCGTTGCGCAGTTGGGACCATCAAAGATTCCCTGGCAATTAATTAATAGAGCCAAAAAAAAAGAAAAAAAGAAAAAAAATATGATGTTCTAGTCTTACAAATTAAGAAAAGAAATTAACATTGATAATATAAAAGACTTACACCGGAGTAAAATTGAAAGTCGCTTGCATCAATAGCCACACTAATAGGCTGCAAATAAGTAGCAAGCAAGAGACCGTCGTCTGATGGATATACGTTTTCATAGCCATTAATGCTTGCACTGTTTGAAACCTAATTAAAAAAAAAAAAAAAAGGTAAAACCCCAAAAGTTAAAAAAATAATAATAGTAGGAAAAAATATTTTAAAACATTGATAAAAAGAAGACCTGAGAGGCATAACAGGTACTCCCAATTGCATTATAAGAATAATCAGTTTCCAAAGCAATCCCACCATTGCTTAAAACCCAATCAAATGCATTACTTGGCCATCCGCCGTCACAACCGTAGCTTTTGGGGTCACAATCGACAAGCTCTTGCTCAGATAGACTAATAAGCTTCCCTGTGGCTATTGCATTTATTCCTTCAATGGCACCTGTGGCTGAGAACGCCCAGCAGCTTCCTAATAACAAAGTATGTATGAGAGTTCTACGATTGACTCAAATGCTTTGTTTGTTATTTCACCAATATGTATCCCTTGTTTTTAGAATAAGGCATTAGCAATTTTTTTTTGTTGATACAAATGATAATTGAACACATGACCTATACAACCTGCCCAAACCCCTCATTACTAAATCAATTCCAGTGGCTTTGGGTTTAGCAATTTCAATAATATGTTTAAAAAAGTTAGAAGAGAATTTGAATTAATGACAACATAACTTTATATAATATTATTTTAAAAAAGAGAATAATTTTTTAACACTGCTATGAAAATAAGAAATCTTATCCTTCAATGTCAACCATTGATCTCTGTGCATTTGGCGGTTCTAATTTACTAAAGTATACCCATTGATTTACTATCATATGCACAAAATTAAATTGACAGGAATAAGATTTATAAGACTTGTTATTCTTACAAACAGTCAAAAGTTTTTTAATTTCCCCTTTAAAAAACCAATATTTTTTTACCCATTTTATAACAGAGAAAACCAAAAACAAAAATAGCACTAGCAAACTCAGAGTAGCTATTAATCTTATATTTGAAACTATAGCTTCACCCAAAAATTAAAGCAATATGTGTACTTGTTAAAAAATAATGTTGCTATTATCACAACAAATATTATATAGAAAATGTCAAAACTAACATTGGATATGCTTAATTTGTGAGGTTAATTGTTTGTACCATTTGTCATATTATTTGTTTCCTTGCATTATTACTCTATCATAAAATCTTACCACAATTTGCTTGGTCCTTAACTCCAGTTACAACTCCTCTTCGCCTCCAATCTAGGGATACAGGCCCTGCATATGATAAATTATTCTGCTTTACGTGACCGAGCTGTTTGGGCATGTCATGGCCATGTAAGTAGGTTTTTTGAAACTCCTTGGGGCTCCAATCAGCAAATTTGTTCATACCAAGAAGGTAGGTAGAAGATGACCTTCTCTTTGCATTAGACTTTGTGATATAGTTCAAATTTGAGAGGAAAATCTCAAATTTCTTTGCCATCTCTTCTAGGTCTTTGTAGATCCTCCCATTCTCTTTCTTCCATAGTTGGAATAGTTGGAGGGCTTCATCTTGAGAAGGAAGCTTGTCAAGGTTAGGGCCCAATATGGAGTACTGGGTTGGGATACTAGAGCTTGAAGAGAGACATACGAATGTAGTGAAGATGAAAATGATGAGAAACATGTTTGGGGTCTGGGAAATCATCATGATCGTTAATTTATTCAAACGATTGATTGAGTTTATCAAACGTTTGATCTGCATTCCTCGTATATTAGTTTCATGTATTTATAGGTAGTGGATGGCTAGTAGTTTGATGAAAAACATTAACTTGTAGCGTATTAGCTCCAGCTATTGGTTGACGACATAGTTTTTGCTACTTACGAATTATTAAACTTGATATGGATAAACCATGTGCTTAATATTAATTTATAGCGATTAGTGAGAGTGATTTTTGTCCACTCAAACCAAAAGTGACTTAAAAGAAATACCAACAACTCAACAAGTTTGTAATTGAATTCATATATAGATGAAGTTATATTTCTTAATTTTTTTCTTCTTTAATTGTTTTGAATGTAAGGTTTTAAAATTAAATTTTACGAAATAATTATCTGTTATAATGGGATGCACATGCACATATATATTCTGTTGAATTCCAACTCATTAAAAAACAATTTGAATTCCCAGTAAATAAAACGCCCATTTTCTCGTCCCAAAACTCTAAACTACAATAACCTTTCGAAGTTAGGGATGTACAAAATGTCCAAAAGAATCAAATCAGTTCATAACCAAACTGCTCCATATTTTAAAAATTGGTTATTTTCAAAAATTAGTTTCATAAACTGCATTTTATTTTATGGTTATTTACCAAATCATAAAAATAATTGATTATATCCATGGTTATTCATAACTAAATTGCTATACAATTAAAGGAACAAATAAGTAAATCCGTTTTGGTTAACTAGTTTATGCACTGATAGAATATTTGGGCCAAATGTGCTTATCATTGGTTCTTTTTTTATAAAACTTCAATCTTCTTCAACATGTTTGTATTTTTCTTTTTTGGTGAGTCATCATTTGCGTCTTCTAAATAAGGTGAATTCATCATCTTGCCAGTGATAGAATTAAAGTTGATGTTAAGTAAACTATTTCTTTCTACAAATTTTCCATTGTTTCGTGCAAAAATCATAGATGCAACTGCTTCAGCTGCCTTTCTCCACTTATTTAAAATAATTCAATTTTTTTTTACTAATCACTCTCAAAACAACGTGAATTAATTTATTTAAGAATCATTTCGTCTGGAGAGTTCCAAATCAATGAAGATTCTTGCAAGAAATAGTTGGTCAACTACCTATAACCGGGAGAAATAATGACTACTTATAAAAATAGCACAATTCATCAAAAACCGAATTTGAATTTGTTATAAAACCATTTTTGAACTTGTTAACCGGTTTATAGTTTATAACCAATTTTGAATTAAAACCTGTTTGAAATTGATTTTAAATCAAAACCAGTTATGAACCATAAATCGTTTTTGGAATCAGTTTCAAACCGGTTTGAAAAATTAAAAACCGGTTTTAAAAAAAAAAACCGGTTCGATTTGAAAACCAAATCGTTTAAAACCCGTTCAGTTCGATTTTGTCAAAATCGGATATGAATTGTTCCATGCACAACGCACAGCCTACTTTATCACATAAAAACTAACCATATTAGAGATGTGGCAAGAGTATTTATTGAAAATTTTACTATATATACAATTAGATAGCTTTTTTCTACCCTTAACCTTAAAATAATTTTTGTTGAATATTTTACTCATTAATTTTTAAAATATTAATAATTGGCTAATATGTAGTGAATTTTAATTTTAATCTCCAATATTTTTTATCTCACTTATTTCGATTTTCATTTTTGTTGTATAATAAAAGTAGGGAGATGCAGAAAAAAAATCTGCCACAAAGAGTAAATTAAGAGTGAGTTTCTCATTTAATCAGTTTCTCTCTCCTTATGGATTTCTCTCTCTTTAATTTACTTTCTGTGGCAGATTTTTTTTTTTTCTGCCACAGATGCAGAATTGTTATTCTCATAAAAGTATCCTTGGCTTAGCATTAACATTAACTAAGAGGAAGCTATTCCCTTCATTGCTCAAAATTTGAAACTAAATAAATTGAGATATAATCCCTATCTATTAGCTAGGTAAGTCTAGTAGTTGGTTTCATCTCACTTAACTTGAGACATAGTTTGGGACTTTGGGGTATTTAATTAAAGTGTCTAAGATCTGACCTTTTTTGCGAGGTTTATAGTCTAGTTGTGCATTTTTTTTCTTTTTTTTTGGAAGATGTCTAGTTGTTGCATTAATATATTTTTAAACTTCATATCGTGCTCGTAGAGGTACGATAAAATTAAAATAATACAAGGTTTGCAAATGGATTTAGAATATTAATTGGAAATCCATCAGCCCGTCATATAAGCCTCAAATAGGTAAGCTTCGTTGAAATAGTGTAAAGAACCTTGTGATACACCATCCTAAAAGCTAGCTCAAAGGGTGGGAGTGTCCAAGGCCTTATAAACTCCACATTAGTTGCACATATAACCAATGTGGGACTATATATCTCAACAAATAGCTTTTATTTAACGGAGAACTATTGAGTTCCTTTTTGTTGATAGAGTCTTAAGATATGTTATTATTTTTTTCTTTTGATATTGTGATCGAGACATCGAGTAGTGTCTTGATTAGCTTGTATGCACTTAAAACTAATCTACTTCTCCAATTTAGTCAAAAGTAATCCATCTAATTATTTAGTTATTGAGTTTTGCCTCCCTTTATCCATAAAGACCAAAACAACTATGTTAATTAGTTATGACGCTCTTTCTTAAGAAACTTCTCCAATTTAGACCAAAAGTAATCCATTTAATTACTGGGTTTGAATGGTGGACAATACATAGATTTACCTACATGTGCTAAGAAACTTCACAAAACTTAAATCAAACCCGTATCATCAAAGTTCTGATACCATGTAAAAAATCAATTCAACCCAAAAATTTAAACTGTTGGATGAGACTATATTAATAATTCTTATACTTCTTCAACACTCCCATTATAAAAAGTACAATAAAAAACACAGTTTGCGACTCACTCGTGATTCAATCTTGAATATGGCCAAGCAACCCATAAAAAACACGATTCTAGCTAGAACCACATTAAACTAGGCATAATAATTCTTATTTGCATATATTTCAAAAATACATCTTAATTACGTTAGAATAATATATATATATATATATATATATATATATATATATATATATATATATATATATATATATATAATACTAAATAATTTAATATTAAAATAATAATTTAATCTATAAATATAATATACTATATGAAAGAAATGTTTAATCCAAAAATAAATTTCGAGATAAAAAAGTTATGGAATAACATAAAGAGTAATTTTCTAGAAGGTACAGCTGTTAATCATTTAAGATACAGGGTAATGGATCCGTTGATTGTTTTTGGGAGAAACCAAAACGATAACTACAACTAATTTAAAATCACTTGAAAATTGAATCTGATTCGGACGACATGATCAAGGGAATGAATTTAGCTTTCAATTCGTATAAACACTATTCCACTATGAATCTATAGTTACTTATTTTTCTATCGTTAGATCCTGATGAAAAAGGTATTAGTTTCCATTTTGGTTCTAAATAATAAAACTTTCGTCAGTGGAGATTGTTGAAGACAACTATTGACTCCCATTAAAAAATATGTACATTAAAAACCACAGTATGCGACTTACTCATGAATCAATTGAACATATATATGAACAAACAACCATTAAAAACTACTGTGACATTGCATGAATTTCAGATTTAACTAAATTATTCTATATTAATTAAAATTTTAGTTGTGAATAAATTTTTTGCCAAACAACATATTATCTGCTTGGGTTGTGGATGCCAAAGCCATCTAACCGAGACTGCAAGGAACCTTATCTTGCAGTCCAAATGCACGCAGCCATCTTGATAAGGAACCAGCAGCACGAGGAGTAACAATGAAGATTCCAACCAACTATGAAGGTCGATCGGTGTAGTAGATGATGATAATATCACTTAATAATATCTCTAAACTTGATCTATGGATATGTTTTCGCTTCAACTTTTTGTATTTTGTATTCAAGTCATCAGAATGTGTGATTTAATTGCAAAATGGTGTTAATTGTGAGATTTTGAAACATGTTTTGTTATCTTAGTTGTTAGATGTGTAGGATTTTTGCTCAAGGAAGAAAGGGATGGAGAAAAAGTTGGATTCAACATATTGAATAACAAGAGAAAGGAACATTGAAAATAAATCTATGTATTGAACTGATACAAAAGGTACAATATATATAGATATACTAATAGGCTTAGTAGCCCAGACCTAACTCAAATCCTAATGAAATAAGAAAATAAATATTTATAGATATATTAAAGATATTCTTTCTAACACTCCCCCTCAAGCTAAAACGAATAAATCACAAGCACCAAGCTTGTTACATATAAACTCTATTCGAGGACCCCTCAAAGACTTTATAAATATATCTACTAATTGATCATTAGAGGGTACAAACTAGTTGTAATTTCACGACCAGCAAGGACCTTCTCTCGAACAAAGTGACAATCTATTTTGACATGCTTGGTTCTTTCAAGAAATACTGGATTGGACGAAATGTGCAGCGCTGCTTGGTTATCACAAATGAGAGTTGCTGGTCCAGTGTCTCCAAACTTGAGCTCTCTAAGAAGTTGCTTAAGTTAAATGAACTTGCAAGTAGTAGTAGCCATGGAGCGATATTCTGTTTCAACACTTGATTTGGTAACTACATTTTATTTCTTACTTTTCCAGGAAACAAAGTTGCCTCCAACGAAGACATAATATCTAGAAATAGATCTCCTATCAGTAGGACAACCGGCCCAATCAGCATCAGAGTATCCAACAACTTTAACACGACCTTTATCTTCATATTCAAGGCATTTTTCTGAAGATGCGTTGATATACTTAAGAATACAAATGTCGGCATTCCAATGTTCTTGACATGGAGAATTAAGAAATTGACTTACCACACTAACTGCAAATGAAATGTTAGGCCAAATGATTGTGAGATATTTCAATTTTTCAACCAATCATCTCTACCTCTCAGGATCTAAAAAAGCAGTTTTTCAAGAATATCCAG